TGCTCGCCTCATTTGATCTCAAGCGAGTGTCTACTATGGCTATTCACAAATTAGGTAACCAACTGGACCTCATCTACACACGCTATTGCTCCACTGACAACACTTTAGTTACTCCACTGCACACCTCAGACCACTTCCTCATCACTTCTAACCTCACACTAACTCCTGACACAGCACATACTCCTCCACAGGTCACCTTTCGACGTAACCTACGCTCACTCTTTCCCTCTCGCCTATCCTCTATGGTTTAACTCTTACAGCTGATGGCTTTGCAATTTTCTTCACAAATAAAACAAGAACCATCACTGACCAATTCCCCACACCACAAACTGATGATAACTTCATAACGACTAATACACACTCTCTCTCCTCCTTCTCTCCACTCTCGGAGACGGACATTTCCGAACTTATCCTTTCCAATCATCCTACTTGTCCACTTGATCCTATCCCCACTCACCTCCTTCAGGCCATTTCTTCTTCAGTCATACCTGTGCTTACTCACATTATCAACACCTCTCTTCCCTCTGGTACATTTCCCACAGCATTTAAACAGGCTCAGGTAACCCCACTGCTTAAAAAACCTTCTCTAAATCCAGCACTTTTAGAAAACTACAGACCGGTTTCCCTTCTTCCATTCATTGCAAAGACACTTGAGCGAGTTGTGTTCAACCAACTCTCTATGTTTCTTGCACAGAACAACCTCATGGACAGCAACCAATCTGGCTTCAAAAGCGGCCACTCAACTGAGACTGCCCTGCTCTCGGTTACTGAAGCCCTGAGACTGGCAAGAGCAGCTTCCAAATCCTCAGTACTCATCTTGCTGGATCTGTCTGCTGCTTTTGACACAGTTAACCACCAGATTCTCCTGTCCACCCTCAGAAAGATGGGCATCTCAGGAACCGCACTCCTCTGGTTCAAGTCCTACCTCTCAGGTAGATCCTTCAGGGTGTCTTGGAGGTGAGGTTTCTAATGGTCCTTTTCCACTGCGTGGTACGACTCGGCTCGGCACGGCTCAGTACGGCACGGCACGGTTCGATCTGTCATTCAGAAGCAAGGCTTTTCTTATCACTGCTATGCTGATGACACTCAACTCTACATTTCATTCCAACCAGATGATCCGATGGTAGCTGCTCGCATTGCAGCCTGTCTGAGAGACATTTCTAGCTGGATGAAGGACCATCACCTTCAGCTCAACCTTACTAAGACAGAACTACTTGTGGTTCCAGCAAACCCATCATTTCATCACAACTGCTCTATACAGCTGGGTTCTTCAACCATAACTCCTTCCAGGACAGCCAGAAACCTTATGAGTTGTGATCGATGATCAGTTAAGCTCCATAGACCATATTGCTACAACGGCCCAGTCCTGCAGATTTGCCTTATACAACATTAGGAAGATTAGACCCTTCCTGTCAGAGCAAGCTGCACAACCTATTCTATTCCATTCTATTATTTAAAAAAAAAAAAAAACACCCTAGCTTACGTGTACTGTGCTAGACTAACTGAGACTTGTCATGGCACTTGTGTACTGTTGTTGTTCTCCCGTTGGTCTGATTGCTTCTATTGTTCTCATCTGTAAGTTGCTTTGGATAAAAGCGTCTGCTAAATGATTAAATGTAAATGTAAATGTGATTTGAGTTGATTCACTTGCATTAATTCTGTCAGATATGTACAGAGCAGTGTTTTTTCTTGCCTTGTAATTGCATTTAAATTCATGATATCTTTCATAATGAACTTCAGCAGAAAAGTGAATTGTGCCGAGTCTCACGTGAAGTGAATCAAACTGACACTCTCCATGTTCCGCGTGATTGGTTAGGCATAAACTCTTGTAATAATTTAATAACCCTTTGTATATATTTCTTTATTTGTGTTATTAATTATTTTTAATTAAATGTTATTATAATGTTTTATTTTTAAATGTATCAGTATTATTATTCTTGTGCTTATTGTTATCTTTTTTTTTTCGTATTCATTGTGTGAGTTGTCACTAAATAAAGAAAGGTTAATAAACTCTCAATCAAACCCTGAGTTGACAGAGAATGTTTATAGTAAGCAGTGTGAACCCGCTGAAGCCGATCTCAACCGGGCTGGATTTGTTTGGTTTTGTCAACTCTAAACTGAAAGATTACATTATAATGGCATTTTAAAGTTTGTTGAACTAGCTTTGTGTAACAGGCCATGGACCTCAGATGTCCTGTCTGATCCTCATCAACTCACCAGCTATTTGATTAATTTAATTTTGGAGCAACTAATGCAGGTTTTCTCGCCTGCACAGCAGTGTTAATTTCGTTGACGAATAATTTTCGTCATAATGTTCATCAACGACATTTTTTTCACTGACGACAACGAGACGATAACGAACTAAAACTCTTTTTGAATGACAAAAACTATGACGAAAATATATTGACATTTTCGTCAACGAATAAAAACTAGACGAAAATGTGAGGGACGATTTGGGAAGAGATTCATTCAATTTCAGAACGAATCTGCTGCGTGGTTCGGAGGTTAGATACGTACATGAACCAGCGGGACATAAGCTAAAATACACTTGCTGTACGTCGCATAAAACATTAAAAAATGTCAATATGTGGGAGTAAGAGAAGAGCAGACATATAGATAAATCTGACAACGCGAGAGAGAGCTCAATTCGGTCCGGTTTTCTGAGCGCAGACACTGGAGCATACACACACAGAATGCGCGTCTCATAGCGCGCGTATACGGAGAATTACACACAAAATGATGTCGAATTGTCCATTTTGACGAGTATTCCCGTAAACACAGTTGATTACGTCTTAAGTGAACGTAAACAGCAGGGAGAACGTGTATCAGGACATTGCATCCGTGCATTCGGTTTTAAAGGGACAGCAGCCTAATTTAGGCTAGTTACTATTGTCCGTGTCATTGATGTTAATCAAGCAACAACAGAAAGACAGAAAATCAGCACTGCTCTTGACTGAAACACTTTAGTAGCCCTAAAGATTAATCTAAATTTATTTATTGAAATAAATGTCTGCTTGAAAGAATGAAGAATATGGTAAACAAGTTGCTATAAAGAATGCATAATTATCCTGTATAACCATTGGTATTTAATTAAAACGAAGACCATATTCTTGTTCTTTATGAGAAGTGGTTTTATTTAATTTTAACATAAAGGCATGTTGTGTGTCACAGCAGTTAAATCAGTGTCTATCATGATAAAACCTTAATATTAAAACTATATAATGAGTTTGGAAATTTTGGAGAAATGCTTAATAAATGCATTACACTGTTACTAAACCCATTAGATTTTAGCCGACTAAATTTACTGTAGATTTAGTCGACTAAAATCGTATTATATTTAGTCGACTAAAACTAGACTAAAACTAAAAACAATTCAGATGACTAAAATATGACTAAAACTAAATGCCATTTTAGTCAAAAGACTATGACTAAAACTAAATAAAAATTTGCTGTCAAAATTAACACTGCTGCACAGACAGAGCCACCGGACAGAAAACAGACTTCATGATTCCTGTCAGTGACCCTGAGCCTGTGCCATGTAATCACTGCATTAAGAGAAGAAGCTGAAGCACATGTGCAGTGTTTGTCTTACCTGCGTGTGTTACTGGCGTGACACGGGCACCTCCTGTCACACTTGAGACCGTACAGCCCCTCCGGACAGATGCGCTCCTCGCAGCTCTCACCCGTGTATCCCGGCTCACACAGACACTCTCCGCTCACATGATAGCACTGGGCACCGTTCACACAGCTACACGCCTGTCTGCAGCCCACACCGTACGAGCCAACTGGACACTGATCCTGGCATCTGCCCACACACACACACATTTCAATCACAGATAAGTGCAACGGTCTTGAAGATGCTGAACAATCTCATGAGCTTCTGATTCAGGCAAGCATTAAAGATTGACACAACGTATACGGTCACTGTTGGTATACAGTGTTTTGTTAAGCAGTAAGTGATCAACAAATGTGTTTTTTTATTGGTCATTTTAAACTGTCTTCTCCAATCCTAAACATGTGTTTACAGCCTTCAGATTGATTGTTACTTAACCAAAAGCAGCACATTATTATTTTAATCCTGCCACAGTACGTTTGGGAATTACATGTTTGTGATTTTAGTTCTCTGACTCTTCGTTCCCTTTCGAGTGGAACTCAACACTGCATCATGACATTGATGTCTATGGAAAAGCTTCTGCGTGAGCCGGTGTCTGAACAATGTATCTAAACATGCAAATACGATTGGCTGGACATATAGACGACATGACGTGGTGTAGCATCAGTCCATAAATAAACGCCAGAAATGCATGCCAAACAGCTTATTTGTCTTCAGAAGTCGTGTTTGTTGAGCATGTGTCGTCTACAAAAGAATTCCTGTGTGAATTCTTCAGATCAGGATGAGGAAGCCAGACTAAGCTTAGATTGGCCTGAAGAGAGGCAAGCGGTCATGCTCTCAAAACTTGATGATCGTTTTCTCACAGCAGCACAAGTGCAGTCTCCCTGCAGCCATCTCCCGTTCTTTCCTGAACTTTACACCAAGGTACTATGCTTGCTTACATGCGTACAAACCACATCAATGTACTCAACAGTGGTTGGTGTGCATGATCAGGGGTATGAGGCAAAGCAGAGGGTTGAAGAGACACCCATGGGCCAACTCTCTCCCTCATCTGCGTCATCATGGAGAAAATCTGTGTGTCTGGGACTCAGACTGAACCCCCCAAAAAGTGTACTTTCTTTAAATCAGAGAACCACTTTTCTTGGGGTTAGTGTAGGATTCTAGGTTTAACCAGGCAGGATTAAACTTACAATATGTGCTCAACACTGATAACTGTCAGACTGTCGAAATCCTTCATCACTTGAATTAAGATTATAATATTTTCATTTTAAAGGAGACATT